TTCCTCTGGCCTCCCTTGGTCAACAAAGTTGTCCTGTGAAACAGCAAGTGATTGCTGCAGATCCTCCAATGATAGCCTTTTACTGCTGTTCTGTCTAGATCCTGTCCACATTACCCTCCGCACGTACCCCCCCCCCAAAAAAAGCAGCAAGCAATGCTAGAAGTCATCATTTAAACTGATTCTAAGGTTATCAGCAGCCGTAGTTTGGATCAGTTCTGCGTCCAATTTTGTTCAGTAGCTTCACCAATGATTGAGAGAACGAGAGAGAGAGAACGCTGATAATGTTTGCAGAAGATACCAAGCTAGGAGGGGCTGCGAGTGCTTTGGAGGATAGGGTTAGAATTCAAACTGATCTGGACAAACTGGAGAAGGAGTCTGAGGTAGACAGGATGAAATTCAATCAGGACTCTACTGCCACAAAGTCTCAACCAAGGGGCTCTCTCTGTGCTATGCAATGCACAAGCACATTAAATGATGAGCCCTGAGGGGAACAATGATGAGAACGGTCAAAGTCCTCCACAGTTATACCTCTGCCTACATCTCATTTCTACCTTCCTACTGCCTTCCCTTTGCCCCAGCTTCCCAAACATAAGAATGGCCATACTGGGTCAGACCAAAGGTCCATGTAGTGCAGTATCCTGTCTGCTGACAGTAGCCAGTACCAGGTGCCCCAGAAGGGGTGCACCGAAGACAATGATCAAGCAATGTGTCTCCTGCCACCCTTCTCCAGCCTCTGACAAACAGAGGCCAGGGTAACCATTCCTTACTCCTGGCTAATAGCCTTTTATGGACCATGAATTTATCTAGCTCTTTTTTAAACTCTGTTATAATCCTAGCCTTCACAGCCTCCTCTGGCAAGGAGTTCCACAGGTTGATTGTGTGCCGTGTGAAGAACTTTCTTTTATTAGTTTTAAACCTGCTTCCCATTAATTTCATTTGGTGTGCTCTAGTCCTTATTATTATGGGAACTAATAACTTTTCTTTATTCAACCTCTCCACACCACTCATGATTTTATATATCTCTATCATATCCCCCCTCAGTTTCCTCTTTTCTAAACTGAGAAGTCCCAGTCTCTATAGCTTCTCCTCATATGGGACCTGTTCCAAACCCCTAATCATTTTAGTTGTTCTTTTCTGAACCTTTTCTAATGCCAAAATATCTTTTTTGAGGTGAGACCACATCTGTACGCAGGATTCAAGATGTGGGTGTACTATAGTTTTATATAAGGACAGTAAGATATTCTTCGTCTTATTTTCTATCCCTTTTTTAATAATTCCTACCATCCTATTTACTTTTTTAACTGCCGCTGTACACTGCGTGGAGGTTTTCAGAGAACTAGCCTCAATAACTCCAAGATCTCCTTTCTGATTAGTTGTAGCTAAATTAGCCCCCAGCAGCTCCTCTCTCAGCCTTGCTTCTGTGCTGTCGTCATGGTCAATACAGTAGTGTCTAGTGACCAAATGCCAGGGCCCTGAGGTGTACAGAGAAGCAGACGGCCCTGGAGAGCTTACAAGCAAGCCAAAGTTCAGGGGAAAGGGATCTCACGCACGCGATGGCAATAAATGGCACGCCCATACCCAAACCTTGTTGGGAGGAGAGTTAGCTAAATGGAAGGACAAGAGGGGAGAGGAGGAGGAGGTTAGGATTGCTGCATTACAAGTAAACAACACCCCCACAAGCGTCTCATTGAAGACAGTGGGACTACTCAGTGTTGTAATTGCTATGATGGGCAGCACAGACTTCTTCGCTCCTGAGTCTGTAAACACATCGGTTTGTAAGGAGGAAGAACGGGCCACTTGTGCGGAGCACAAGCCTGGATTACAGGAGACCCAGGTTCAACTTCCTGCTCCACCTCTGACGTCCTGTGCGACCTTGGTCAAATCACTAAAGTCTATTTGTGACTCATTTCTCCAGCAATCAAATGGAGATGAATGGCACCATCCTACCTCACAGTGGAGTTCTAAGGATGCCTATGTATTCAGTCCATCAATAAATCCTGCACGGGACATCTGGCTATTCAACAGGATCCACCCAGAAGAGCCTATTGTAATTATCTGTCCCGTTAGGCACCCAAGGCACATGCCGCTGGTCCTGGCAGTGTCCATGAACAACTCTAAATAGCTCATCTGGAACGGAAGTCTTGCGCTGGGTCCCACATAACAGTTAGACCAGTGGTCCCCAACACATCAATAAATCCTGCACGGGACATCTGGCTATTCAACAGGATCCACCCAGAAGAGCCTATTGTAATTATCTGTCCCGTTAGGCACCCAAGGCACATGCCGCTGGTCCTGGCAGTGTCCATGAACAACTCTAAATAGCTCATCTGGAACGGAAGTCTTGCGCTGGGTCCCACATAACAGTTAGACCAGTGGTCCCCAACACGGTGGCTGCGGGTGCCACGGGACCCCCGGGGGCATTTGT